TCTTCTCTTCTCCAGACTGAACAGCCCCACGTCCCTCAGCCTTTCCTCACCAGAGAGATGCTCCAGTCCCCTCAGCATCTCCGCAGCCCTTTGCTGGACCCTCTCCAGCAGTTCCCTGTCCTTCTTGACCCGGGGAGCCCCAAACTGGACACAATGCTCCAGATGTGGCCTCCCCAGGGCAGAGCGTAGGGGGAGGATGACCTCCCTCCACCTGCTGGCCACACTCTCCTTGATGCCCCCCAGGATGCCCTTGGCCTTCTTGGCCACCAGGGCACATTGCTGGCTCGTGGCCATCCTGTTGTCCCCCAGGACTCCCAGGTCCCTTTCCACAGAGCTGCTCTCCAGGAGGTCAGCCCCCAACCTGTACTGGTGTGTGGGGTTATTCCTCCCCAGATGCAGTACCCCACACTTGCCCGTGTTGAACTTCATAAGGTTCCTCTCTGCCCAGTTCTGGCCCAGCTGCTCACCACATCAGTCCCTTTGCTGTCAGTCCTGCCCTTGCCAGTGTTTCCAGTTTGGTCTTGGCTCTCCGGTTCTCCCTAGGTGGGACACCTCCATGCTGGCTGTGCTAAGGACATCACAGTAACCTTGAAATCGGACATGGCGGTCGCCTTCAAAATGCACCCAGTGAAGTGTAAGGTGGCTCGGATCGCCTTCCAGCTGCCACCAGAGCAGGTTACCGACTGGGACGACCGCCTGCGCACTGTCAAGTGGGTGGATGCCACGAAGGACCCAGCAGCCACGTGGCCTGTGAAGAAGAAGGTAAGAAGCACAATAGCAAAAGCTAACTGAGCTTCTAGAAAGGGAACTGCCGACGGCAGCAGGTTGACGTGTCTGCTGGCTAAGCAGCTTTTGCTTCCTCCTGACACTTAATCCATCCGTGAGGTTAACCAGCAGCACGTTTTAGGGGAGAGGCGGATGCACGGTGACCTGATACTGTCTCGCAAGATGGGGAAGTCTTTTTGACGAGAGGCATTTAGGTTGACAAGAGATGTTTAGCCACATGCGAACTATCAGTCGCTGCCAAAAGCTGAAGTGTGGCAGCCTGTGTTGAAGGGGAGGTCACATTTTATGGTAACGCATTTTGTGGCATTGAAATCTCTTCATCTGATTCAGTGCCTTTTCACCAACGAGGGGTTAAATCCAGTGTGCTCGTTCTCTTGTTTTGAAGCGGAGAGCAACACTAGCACTCTTCTGTGTGCGCAGGTGAGCTCACCAGCGTGCTGTGGGTGAGCTCGGAGCTCTGTCCACACTGATGCAAGAGATTTTGGTTGTGGTCTCTGTATCGTGTGGGATATTTCATTACGGAGCAGCCCAGGCGCTGTATGGGAGTCATGCAGGATTCCGGAGAATTATCATTGCCAGAAACTCTGACTTTTAATTACCATTATTGCCAAACACACTTATCTTGGGTGAAGGTTCTTCCCTAGTTTCTGAGCCATTGTACAACCTGTAAACCAAACTACTTCCCCATCAAAGCATTAGCAGTCGGAGACGTTCCCAATGAGTTCATTCCCATCCCAAAATGCCCATCTCCAACCCCTGCAAGTGTGGCTGTTGCCCCACACGTAACATCTGGGAAAAACTTTCTCCTAAGACAAGAAGGAAAAGGTCCTTTCTAGGTTTGTTCCTTCTGGGGGGTTCTCCACGCACAGAGTTCCAGCAGTGGAACTTAATCCTAATTTAGAGGGCTGCGGAATTTATAGGGGGTTAGGAAAAAGGTCGGACGCTGTACAGGGTTGAAACACAGGGGCTGATACCCGGTCACAGTCCCCATGGGTGTACTCAGTTGTGGTGCTGATCACTTTGATGAGTGGGTAGAAACAAATACTACAGTGGAAGGGTCAAATTTTGTCATCTTTCCAGGGAAATAAATGGGAACAGTCCTTCCTAGCCCCTATAATATGGCTGATTTTGGAGGCCGAGAGGCTCCCTGCTCAGCCTGGCTTTGTGGGCTCTGCTCAGTGATATTTTTTTTTTATTTTTTTTTTTCCCCCTCTCCTGTTTGGAGGTGATTGAGACAGACCCCGAACCGGCTCACACTGTCCTGGAGAAGAGCAGCCGTGAGGTGGAGCTTCGCCTCAGTGCTGTCGTTGACTACGCGGAGTTCCAGCTGGATATGGACGTGATTCAGTTCAAGGAGATGTTGCTCTTCCAGACGAGGATACTCACGTGAGTGTGGGGGGCCAGACCTGCGAGCAGGAGCCGACTTTGCCCAGGGCTGACCCAGTACCTGCTTCCCCAGAGCCACGCTGGGTTCCTTCTGCTCATGGTCCTGTGCCAGCAGAGGTTACACGGACACGCTCGTCACTTTGTGGCTTAATAAAACCTCTTCTAATTTCTAACAGGCTGATCAGCCTCCGCGGGGGGTGCTGCTGCCTGCTGAGTCTGAGGTCTCAGCTTCCACACGTAACCTGGCACATCTCCCACGTGTGGATCCCAGTCCCATCGAGGGCTTTATGTTCAATCTCACCTTCAAATAAATCATTTATTGTTTCATCCTCTCCAAGTCCTGGCTGGGCGCTGGGGCCTGTGTATCTGCACACAAAGCCCAGCAGGAGATGGTGGCTGCCGTCCTGCCAAGACGTGCCAGGAGAGGCTCGTTTCTGCTGTGCCCTTCTGCTGAGAACAGCCATGGGTTTGCTGTCGTTGCGTGTTGCCTGTCCTCATCTGCTTGAGGACGAGTTTGCAGTCGAAATAACGTCAAACCGAGACTTAAAGACCCAAATAAGACCCTTGGATTAAGTCTCCTGGGCACCGTGTCTGCCCTTTCCTCTTTAACTTCCAAACTTGGAAATATTTTGTCTCGGGGCAGCCCAGGGAGGCGATCTAGCCATGGCAAAGTCTGGGGAAGAAGATGCTACTCAGCATAAAGAAAGGGGTTCCCGGAGCCCACCGTACAGCGTTACTTCTCTACTTGCTTTCTATTTGTTGGACTTTTTATTCATCCTTCTTGCTTTTCAGTTTCCACCTCTCCAATACGGGGAATGTGGCCCTGGAATACAGCTGGATGGTGGCTGTGGAGGATGAAAGGGCGGTGAACCATACTGGGGAGCTGCTCCCGCCCGGTCTGGATGGTAAGGCGCTCTCTGTTGCAGCTGGGGGGTGCCCGGGGTGTTTTGGTTGGTAGCTGAGGGCTTGGGGAGAAGAACACCCCACTTCACCCCAAAACACGAATTGCTTTTTCATCCCTGTCCAGTCATCCGCTTTCATCAGTGTCTTCCCAGCTACAGCGGGAGACTTCCTCCTTGCCGCCTCCCTGCCTGTCCGACCCTCCTCTGCTTGCTGTGACACTCGTGCTCTGCACGGGAGCTGAGCCCACCTCAGTGGGGAGCCATGTGGTGGGCCAGGACAGGGAAGGGGGGACATCAGGGCACCTCTTCGGGAAGACCCTGAGACTGGGAAAATCGATGGTGGCTGCAGTCACTGTCCGTGTGCAGTTCCCTAGTCCATGACAAGCGCAAAGTCACTGTCTAAAATTAACCCTCCGAACTTGGGCCACCAGGGTTGTCCACTGCAGGCGGAGACCCTGCTCACAGCAGCTATCGGAGCTCAACGGCGGGGCCGTGACTCGTTAACCTGCAGTAACGCGGTTGCGTCTGAAGACGTGGTGTCCTTGGGAGCAGTGTGGTTCTCTGTGGGGAAACGGGGCTGCGTGTCCGAGAGGTCTGGTTGGGAACAGGAGTGAGGAGAGCCGCCAACTCTCGCGTTCCGTACCACGGGCAGCTCGTCTGATGGCCAAAACCGGGGAGCCCAACCCAACCCTTGATGCTCTGCATGTCCTTATCTCCCTCCCCTGTGGGTCCTGGCGTTGGCTCTTCCCCGGTGCAGGGTACACTCGTGCCAAAGCCGGTCTGCTGGGCTGTGCCATGAGCTGGCTGGTTGTCAGTTGTGAAAGCCTGAGAAAGAGGAAGGAAGGAAAGGGTGTGAAGGACAGAGCAGCGCTGTTCCCCAAAGCCTTCTCTCCATCACGCACAATTCAGTTCTGCAGGCAACGAGGACTTAACGCTGTCCTTGGGACGTACTGGGACATGAAACAGCGCCTGGAAATTTTCCCAGATGCTGTAACAGTCATCTCTACTGTTAGTTTTGGGAATGAACAGTGGCCAGAAACCATTCTGCAGGAGAAGTTTGCACCTTAGTTCCCCAGCCCCAGAGACAGAGAGGGTTTAACAGTGTGGAGCGAAGCGTCTGGCGTCAGTCCTGAGCCCATTTAATTTGCTGACGTACAGCCTTCCCGTCTGTCATCACAGCATCTTTAACGGATGCTCAGTGGCGTGGTTTGATTCGAGCAGTTTGCTGGGTCTCTGCTGGGCCTTTTCACTGGTTTTGCTGCCCCCCACCATGTTCTGCCTCCTGTCTGTTCTCACTTTCACACCTGTCCCCCTGACTTTCTGGGATTAGGATTTAGCAAACTGACCACTCTCCCCGTTCTTCACTGGGAGTCCTCCCGCTGTAAGCACTTGGCCAGAGATGCCCCAAGTGCATCCCAGTTCCCTCCTGTCCCACCCACAGCAGGGGGCAGAGGTGCTGGGAGCAGAGGATTTCCTCCTTGAAAGATGTCCTGCTATAACCTCTTCCTTACCGCAGGGGGGTTCCTCTCTTCAGCTTCTGGTGGCCCTGTGAAGCTCCAGTCTAGCTGTTCTTCGAGCCAGCTGAGCTGCAAACTGGAGCAGGTCTCTTCCTCCCTGAGCTCATCTCTGAACACCGGCAGCGCCACCCCGGTGTTCTCCATCGAGCCCTGCAGTGGCACCGTCCTTGCCGGCCAGGAGCAGCTCTTCCAGATTAAGTTCTCTCCGGTCTACGTGGGGGAATTTGAAAGCCGTATGTTCTGCAGGTAGGAAATGTCCAGGCACTTTTCAACTCGTGCTGCTGATGGATAGTTGTGGTATTGGCTCTGGTTGGGGCGGGTGGGAGTGCGGATCTGGGGACAGCCAGCTCCAGAGAGGCAGCAGAAACAACCAACGTACAAGAGTGAGGAAAGCTGATCATCCAACCTTGGTAGAAGCAGGTACGGAGAGACTGGGAAACGACGTTGTATGAAATATTAAGCTCCTAGAGGGTTGCAAAACCTGGAATGAGAGATCCAAGAAGGCTGCCAAGGGCCAGCCAGCCCCTGGCTGTGCTTCCTTATCAGATGAGCCCGGCTTCCTTCTCCACACAGACACCCGTGCACTGTGGTTGGTCTCTAGACACGTAACTCTTCATATTTCTGCCGTTTCACCTCTGCTGCCTCCACGGCGGGAGCGCAGTTCTGTTTGATTCGCTGCTCAATGCTTGCACAGAGAGAGGATGCAACCCTTGTGTGCTGTCCAGGGAGATGTGTCAACCTTCAACCCTTGTGTCCTTGTCCAACAAGCAGTTGGCTGGCTGGAAACGTTAGTCTGGCTAATACCGGTCCCTTTCTTCCCAGTATTCCTAACCTGAAGCCAAATCAGAAGGGCCCAGAGGTGGTTGTGAACGGGAGAAGCCTGATGCCAGACTGCCACTTTGAACTGGAAGACTCTGACTACATCACCGCGAAAAGGCGCAGCCCAGAGTTGCAGGGACCAAAGGGGACAACGTTTGATCCCAACACAAGAGTGATTGAGTTTGCGGCAACTGGAGTGTGCAGCAGGATCAGCAGGTAGGTGTGGGCATGATTTCTGTTGACGGTCTCCTAGTCACCCCCCTTAACCTGAGTCCTCTCCAGCTACTCTTCCAAGCCCCATGGCACATCTGTACCTTGTCTGTGATCTACTGATGCTTGGCCACCAGTTTGTTTTGGGGCTGGAGCAAGGTGGTCACTTCAGTGACCAACTGGCCAATTTTCTGTTTTCTTTGACCCTTTCTTCAATAAGGTGTGGGTCAGTCTGGGAGGACCGCGTATCCCCAGCCTGTGCCATGTGGCCAGTACACCCTTTCTCCCTTTGAGGAGCATCCTTGGGACATTCTCGCTCCTTTGAGATACTTGTCAGACATGGTTGGTGAAGGCTGCAACCACAACAGAGAAGTATCATCTTACAAAGAAGTCCTACTGCACTTTATTTTACTGTTTTCACTTGATCTTACCATTTTAACGTGCAGGAGTTTGGCTATGTCCTTGCTAATTTCTTTGTCCATAGGCATTGATCTGTAGACAACTGGGAGGCAAACAGGGCCCCTAGAAAGCAGGTGAAATGTTTGTGCTCCCAGTGTCATTCCCCTATACCAAATAACTCCTTCCAGGTGGTGTCCAGGACTGGCAGTGCCTGATGTCTGCTGCAGGACAGAGTCATTAACGTCCCAACACGACCTTAGTAGTCCTTTTTACTTTGTGTGCGCAGGACCTTCATGGTTATGAACCCAACCGGTTCCACGTATTCCTTCCAGTGGACTTGCCAAGACCCTGAAGCCCCACCAGAACAGGTGGCTTTCTTCTGCCTTGCCGAGAGAGGTCAGATCCAGCCAGGGAAGAAAGCAGAGGTGCGTGCAGAAAATTAAGGCAGTAGATCCAGTACACGTGTATTACCAGTTTAACATGGGCTACGTCTACACTTACTGGGCGTCCCATCTCACTGTGAGCTTGCCAAGACTGTGAAGAACGAGTCTATGATTCCAGGAAACCTTTGACTGAAGTGTAAATGAACTGGCAGGTGAACCTGTTCTCACCCTGTACCCCACATTTGCCATACTTTTGGGCTGTAAGTGGCACAGCAGCCTAACTCTGAGCTGACAGCACCATGAGGTGGAGGTTCCTGGGGCTTCTTGGTGGTATAGACTACACCTCCCCCCGCCTTACCCTGCCAAGGGCAGAAGCTTTCCTTCATCTGCCTCTTTCTTCCCCAGATGAAGTTTGAATTCATCGCCCGGCACCTGGACATCACAGAATCATTCTGGGTCTTTACAATTCCTGAGCAGAGCATCTCAGTCCCGTTCCTGTTGGTGGGCAACACCACCGACCCGCTAGTGACTCTGGACAGATCCCACCTCAACTTCCACTTGCTGTTAATCGGTGAGCACCGTAATTACACCTTACACGCTCAGAAGTGTACCTCTCCAGGAGCCCAGCAGTCCCGTTATTCCAGCAGGCTCAGAATCCCAGACTGGTGGGGGTGGGAGTGGCCCTCTGGAGCTCCCCCATCCCACCCCCTGCCAGAGCAGGGGCACCTCCAGCAGTGGCACAGGACGGCGTCCAGGCGGGTTTGGGATGGCTCCAGAGGCCTCAGGTGGAGATGGAACTGCCCATGGTCACCTTTGTGCCCGTTCCCTCTTGTCCTGTCACTGGGCACCACTGGAAACAGACTGTTCCCATCCCCCCGGCACCCTCCCTTGAATGATTTATCAGTGTTGATAAGATCCCCCTCAGTCTTCTCTTCTCCGGACTGAACAGCCCCACGTCCCTCAGCCTTTCCTCACCAGAGAGATGCTCCAGTCCCCTCATCATCTCCATAGCCCTTTGCTGGACCCTCTCCAGCAGTTCCCTGTCCTTCTTGACCCGGGGAGCCCCGAACTGGACACAATGCTCCAGATGTGGCCTCATCAGGGCAGAGGGGGAGGATAAAGGAGGCTGGAAATGGAAATGGGCCCTTGTGAGCAGAGCATCCAGCTCCTGGCACCCAAGTCTACGAGGGAGAAGAAGGAGAAGGGAGGAAGGCATGTGGCAGGGACACGGCACGTAGTTGGGGCTTGTTTCCAAGAGGGGATTTGGGGGTGACGCAGGGGATCCCAGGGGGTGAGAAGCAGGTTTCCATGTTGGTGTCCTGAGCGTGCCATGCTGCAGGGAATGCTGCTGGCTGCAATTTTCCTGCAGGGCTGAGCCGGCAGGCAGGAGCGCGGTGGACAGTGGTGGTCTGGTGGCCAGAGGAACAAAAGGTTTTCAGCACCTGCTTTGTCCTCTCCCCAGGGCACGAGGTACACCAGACTATCTATATAATCAACAGCGAGAAGGAAGCCTTCAGCTTTGCTTTCAGAGAAAGCTCTCTCTTCTCAGAGGGATGCAACGCCACCATGAAAATAGAGCCCCTGGAAGGCTCCATTGCTCCTCTTTCAAGGTAACAGGGCTCACAGGCCAGATTCCCTCTCCTGCGTGCCAAACGTCACATGGTTGTCTTGCTTTTGAGGCTTTCTCCCCTCCACAGTCACTAGGTGACCTTCTGCAACAGCAGACATCTGCCTTGTTTCGGTCCTTCCCGATGGGGACACCACGAAACTGTGGGTTTCTCCATAAAGTGGCTGTGTCGGTGTTACCCGGGTCTTCTAGGCCCCCATTCTGGAGAAGTTCAGGCTTTGGATCTTCTAGTTTTGATGACAACAGCATGTTTGGGGGTTTTAACCCTGTGATTTCCTGAGCCAGCAGCCTTAAGTAGGCAAGGTCTCCTCTCTTCCCTGTGTTCTTTTGGCAACACAGAATCCCAGACTGCTCAGGGTTGGATGGGACCTCTGCAGATCATCCAGTCCAACCCGCTGTCAGAGCAGGGGCACCTCCAGCAGTTGCACAGGATAATGCTTGGGTGGGATTTGAATGGCTCCAGAGTGGGAGACACCCCCACCTCTCTGGGCAGCCTGTGCCACTGCTCTGCCACCCTCACAGCAGAGAAGGCCCTCCTCAGGTGGAGATGGAACTGCCCATGGTCACGTTTGTGCCCATTCCCTTTTGTCCTGTCACTGGGCACCACTGACAAAAGACTGTTCCCATACCCCCAGCACCCTCCCTTGAAGGATTGATCAGCATTGATAAGATCCCCCTCAGTCTTCTCTTCTCCAGACTGAACAGCCCCAAGTCCCTCAGCGTTTCCTCAGCAGAGAGATGCTCCAGTCCCCTCATCATCTCCGTAGCCCTTTGCTGGACCCTCTCCAGCAGTTCCCTGTCCTTCTTGACCCGGGGAGCCCTGAACTGGACACGGTGCTCCAGATGCGATGTCACCAGGGCAGAGCAGAGGGGGAGAGCTCACCACACATGGTCTGTGCAAAGCCACCAGGAGCAACAAAGCGCACAAGCAGCACTTACGCCCATCCTGGGGGACAGCGACGGCTTACACAACTAGCTGTGTTTTGCGGGATCACCCATCAGAAAATGGATGCTCTTTTCTTGCAAACTGTGGCCATGACTTGCCAGCAGGCATGATCGTGAGTCCAAGCAGTCTAAGAGGTCACTAGCTCGTTTGCTGATCCACCATGAATGGCCCTTTGCCCACCCGTAGCCTGCCTGGGTGTAAGGCGAATGCGTTAGGTCCGGGCAACATTGCTGTGGCTTAAAATATGATGAATTTTGGCTTGCCACAGGGTGCTAGACGAGAGCATCGCGTATCAGTCACTGTGGCTCACCTGAGAAGTGGTAATTCCTTAAATCTCCATAGTTTGTTTGTGTTTGATCATGTACCCAGAAATTACCCACAAAAATCACAAAGAGGCAGTTTGGTGGCACCCACGTTGTACTGCTGTCACGGGAGCTGGATTGTTCCTCTCTGTAAAGAAGATGTTACCCCTGACATGTTGATCATAGAATCATAGAATGATTTGGGTTGGAAGGGACCTTAAAGATCATCCAGTCCCACCCCCTGCCCTGGGCAGGGACACCTCCCACCAGCCCAGGTTGCTCCAAGCCCCATCCAACCTGGCCTTGAACACCTCCAGGGATGGGGCAACCTGCCCCGGGGGCTCACCACCCTCACGGGGAAAAATTTCTTCCTAATATCTCATCTAAATCTCCCTTCTTTCAGTTTGAAGCCATTCCCCCTCATCCTATCCCTACATGCCCTTGGAAAAAGTCCTTCCCCAGCTCTCCTGGAGCCCCTTTAGTGGGGAGAGATTGGAGAGACTGAAGTCTCTTGGAGTGTCCTCCTCTGTGTTTGGGACAGAAGTGAGGTCTCAACCCAACGCTGTCCTGTAGCACATGGGTTAGGAGGGCAGTAAGGTCAGCATTAGCTCAGGGTTTGCTGCCTTGTTGTTGTATCCTCTCCCATTTCATGGATCTTCATACCCTAAACAGTGCTCACCAGGGCTTGCTCCATAGTGGAAGGCCCTGGAAGGGCAGAGTGCTGCTCCTGGTTTCTCCCAGGCTTCGGGTCCCACCACAGCCATTGCACAGCTGCTGTCCTGTAGAGCAGGCAACGTGGGGCCAAGAAAGCTAAGAGAGAGTGGACGGAACAAAAAGGATCTTCTCCCCCCAGGTTTCCCGTTACAGTCTTCCTCACACCAACACTAGAAGGAGAGGTGGTCTTCAACCTCAAGTGCGATGTCAAGAGGAAGACCCAGCCCCTCTCCTTGAATATCAAGGCCACCAGCTATAGCATGAATGTGTCTGTCGGGTGCGAGGACAGCGATGGCTGTGTCACTGAGCTCAGTGCGCATGAGATTAACGTCATTGATTTCAAGGAGGTGAGCAGCGCTGGTTCCCCCAACCGTTTGCCCCACAAAGCCCTGCAAGACTGGGCTTTAACCAGGAGCTTTGAAGATATGTTTGAACAAGAGGGAATGTTTTTCCTCATTTGTGGGTCTCCAGAGGGAGGGAGGTTGATCTTTCAGACAGGTCATTAGCTGAATATGAAAGACGAAGGAGCGCTTGCTGGGCCGGCCAGCACTTCGCGTGTGCTTCAAGCCCTGCTCCTCACCACCTTCTCCCCGCAGGTACAGCTCAACGAGAACATCAAGCGCATCTTCAGCATCCGCAATAAGGGCAAGTTCAGCTTCACCTTCTCGTGGGAGCTGAGCGGCCCCGCAGCCCGTAAGCAGGTCCTTACCATCACCCCTCCGACGGGCGCCGTGCAGGCGGAGAGGAAAGCAGAGACCGAGCTGGCTTTCCACCCACAGAAGATGTGCTCTTTAAAGGATGTAGAGCTGACGCTGCAGGTGAGACACCGGCGTTACACGGGACCTTCGCCTTCCCTTGGCAGCAGGAGCCCAGAGCTAAGGGCTCTAAAGAGCCCGACCGCGGCAAAGAGGCTTCTGCTGCTGAAGTAAGGAGCCTGACGGTTTCTGAACGGAATACTTTAATGAGTGCTTATCCAGGACCGCTTTGGGAAGCATTTTTGTGGCAGGACACCTAATTTTGGGGGGGTCCTAGATGTGCATGGAGATGGAGCTGTTTCTCCTTGCCAGGCCCCTGCTGAGTCAGGTCCCACAGCTCAGAAAGGTCCCCCCAGCACGTGACTGCACAAAGCATGGCCACGGCTCTCCAGAAACCCTTTCCCTCTCAGCCCAAACCTTCCACCTCCTGTTCCCATTCTGGGGTCCTTTGGCACCTGCTCTTCCTTATCGTCACTGCAGCCAGCTGTCCCCCATCCTCTTCCTCGGCTATCTCTGGTGTTTGCAGTTGTAGTTCCCACCTCTTCAGCTGGCTCACGCTGTCTTTCTCCTCACCAGATCAGCAAGGGTCCCACGTTTACTTGCGTGTTCCTGGCCACCGTGGTAGTGCCCACTGTCCACTTCTCCACCACCAGAGTCAATTTTGGAGCCTGCTTCATCTACCACGCTGGGATGCCACCTGCCCGTCAGACCATCGTCATGACAAATGAGGCAGACAAGGATATCAGGTATGTCTTCTCTCCTGACCCTTCTTTAGAACACACCTGCTTCATGTTCTCATGACCCTTGTGGGTGAAATCCCGAGGGTGCATGGAGAGGAGACAGGAGAGCCCTAAGTAGCCCTGACATTGTCATCTGAGCACATGCAGCCTTCTGACACCTCCGCTCCTCTTTGCTGTGCTTTCTGCCAGTTTGAACTGCTTGTTCACCAGCACTGTGCACCTGAAGGTGGACTTCCGAGGGTGCATCCTACACCCAGGAGGGACAGTGGAGGTGCCCATCACTTTCTATCCCCGAGAGGTTGCGTCTTACCATGAGCTCATCCCTTTTGAAATCAATGGGCTTTGCCAGCAGACCATTGAGGTCCGAGGAAGGGGCACAGAAATGAAGGTGAGATGGAACCCAAAACCTTAAACTCCAGGAGGCAGACAGCCAGCATGGCTTTCTTTCTCATTTTCCTCATCTCTCTTCCCCAGCCTACTGTGTTTTGGTTTTCTGCTACGAGGGTGGCAAAAAAAAACCTCTTCTTTTCTTTCCTTTCGCTTTATATTAATCCCTCCTGCCTCAGGTTGATGTTGTGGAACCACAAGGAAAGGTGGTGAAGCTAGGAGCCCTCTCCATCGGACAGACGGTGAAGAAGATTGTCACCATAGCAAACAACAGTGTGGCCCCTCTCACTTTTAAGCTCCGTCTCACATCCACCATGCCAGAGCTGCAAGAAGCTGGGGTAAGGCCCCTTCTTTCACTGGCGAGCACTTTGGTGTGCCTACAGGGATGCCTGCAGGTAGCTATGAGCAGCTCTGGGTGGGAGCTGGTAGTTACAGTGGTGTGTTGTCCTGGCTGCCTGCCTGCTGTCCTGTCCTGCCTGCTGGGACTGCTCTACCAGCTGATAGATATGTGATATGCCTCATCTGAGCCGGGTGTCAGGACTCCCCCAAATAGCCAGAAGTGAGAAGGAGGTGCTCTCACCTGTTTTAGACACATATGTTAGGATGTGACCATGTATTAACATACATGGATATGGAAAGGTACTCTTTAAAGACCAAGAGTCACAACTCTCTTGGGGCTCACGGGGAAATCACTTTGGAAGACGTAATCCAGCTCACCACATCACAGGAAAATACCTTTCGTATGCAGGGATGCGTACAAGGGAATGAGTAGGATTGGGGCAACGTCGATGGGGAGAGAACAGGAATTGGAAGACTCTATGGAGGATTCACAGCTCAGTTGCCAGATGAAGTAGTCTCTACTCATTTCTTTGGGCAGGTTCTCTGCTTGAACCCCATCAGCGAACTAACTCTGAAGCCCAAAGGAGATACCTGTAAAGTGGAGGTGAACTTCTCTCCAAAGTGCCGCATCCAGCCGTTCGCTGAAGAAGTGATGTTGGAGTGCAACGGCCTGGCACGCTCCCTCTTCATGGTGCGGGGCTCCTGCCAGGGCATCCAAGTGAGCTTGGACCAGGAACACCTCAGCTTTGGAGCAGTGGTGCAGCACAGCCACACATCCCGGCACATCATCATGCAGAACACAGGCGACATAGGAGTCAAGTAATGCAAAACTCTGAGGGCTGAGAGCTTGGATGAGGGTTGGATGGAGTTGTAGCTTGCCCAGATAGTTCCCCTCTGCTTTTCCATCCCAGTGGAGAGTTATGCAGCCAGGGCTGTGTGGTCAGGCCCTGGAAGTTAGCAAGGGATACAACCACAGGCTTGTTTACAGATGGGTCCTGCCCAACCTGAAGCCTTATTTCCAGGTGGCTCAGCATTATGCCTGAGAGCTGGTGGAAAAGCCCCCAAAAGGCTTAGAGACAGCAAACTGCATTCTCAGCTTCCCAGTTGCTAATCCTTCCTTCCTGTCCCTGTGCTTTCCTTGGCAAGGTTTGAGTGGGACATCAAGAGCTTCAAGCCAGATTTCTCCATCAGCCCCGCAAAGGGTTACATCTCCCCAGGAATGGATGTCCCCTTCGTCGTGACATTCCGCCCCTCGAAGCTGAGCCATGCTATCCAGTACAGGGACCTGCAGTGCTTCATCCAGGGCAGTGAGCCGCTCTGCCTTACGCTGGCAGGATGCTGCATGGAGATCCCTGTGGCCAAAGAGGTAATGGAAGCGGAGTCAGGATGGGTCCCCCCTACCCCACCATTTGCACCACATCTCTCCCAGGGCAGGGACTGGAGGACACTTGCATGCATAGACTCACTCCTGTGTGTCGTCTTGTCTGGGTATCCCAGAGAGCTGAGAAAACCGCTGGGTGGGTTTCCCAAAATGTCTCTTACTGCCTTCCTCCCCTATTAAAGGTGCCGCTCCTCCAGCGCACGCGTTGGCAGTCCTGGCCCTGCGTTGCAGCACCCCTGGCTGCAGGGACAACCTGCAGGGTTCTTCCGAGACACTCCCCACAGAGCCACCCAGCCACAGCAA